ATTGATATTCACTCCTCAGGGCCTCTATGCCTTTGATGACCTTACAACTGGTAAATTTTATACAACAAAAAAAGTAATACCTAAGATAGACAGAAAATAACAAATAATTTAGTAATTATGAGTTACTTCCCCTTAAAATAGAGAAAACCTGAAACCCAAAAGAACACCCTTAACAGCAAAATTATGAAATGTTGCAGGCTCAGTTTTATGAAAAGTAATGGTCAAGTATTCATAAAAAAGTTAGATGGCCATTTGACAGCAGTAATTGCAGAAAATCGGATAGATTTCAATATCCGGATACTGGTACGCTTTGTAAAAACAATCATTCTGTGCAATAGATAAACGTAATATTGATAAAATCAATAGGATAATCGTTTACAAAAGTTCCATTACCAATCTTAATACTCATTTGCAGGTGAACGTTCTTCTTGTAGGAAAATTTTGAAAAAAAAATATAAATGAATGAAAAAGAATACGGCATCAATGAACTAGACCACAACGATATTCGAACTCCGGGTTTTAGTATTGCCAATAAAGCTAAGGGACAAGCTGTTAAACTGAGCCTGCAATTTCTTGAAAATAATATCACAAGGCACATGCTTTAAACATAAAGTTATTAAATAATAATATAACAACATATTTGTTTACTTGATTTTTACGAATCAAAATAAAACTAATTAACACAACATGACATTAACTGCTAATAATAACAGCTCCTTCCATAGGCCAAAATAAAAGCATTCCATAAGAGACGGCGCCGTTCACCGGCGTCGCCAATAACTAAACTGTCCTTACTGTGAAGTTGTTTTTCTTTTATTCTTTAAGCAAGTGATGATATCTACCAGTCATAAACATACAATAAGCTGTGTTTTATTTAAAAAACAAAACACTAACCCATTTATAAGGTTATGATCTGTCAAATCTGATCTTTCTGTTTCCAGAATATTCTTCGCATGGTTTTTGACAAAGTGCATTTACAAAATAACGATGATATCCTACAGATGTCTGTCCACCAACTCTGTATCTGTAACGTTTCACTGGATAAAATTGTTAAATAATCCTTTGTTGCATGCTTTAATCGTCTGCATGTTCCAGTTTGACACACAATTATTCACATTACAATTACTTCCGTTGATAACGGATCTTTACTTTTTGACTATTCAACAAAATATCTTTTATACCCGAAAAGAACTCTAGGGTGCAAAGGACTAAATTTTATGAGGGTCATAGTTACTTTGGTGATGCCCTAGGCCTTATCGTCGAAAATAAGAATGAATCGAGAGAAAAATGGCGGCCATTTTATATCATTTTATTTAGAAAATAGACCACGTGACCAGATTTTATACTGTTAAAAATATTGTTATCTATGTGACAGTACAAAATTCTTAGTCACGTGGTACACTTGCATTAACAGTAAGAATAACTCCCAGAGGCCTATGGGAAATTAACATCACGAATAAAACAAACTTACATATATGTTCAAGTTCTTTGGATACTTTGACATACGGATGCAATTAGATAGATTAATCTGAGCAGTTTATTGCTTGTCCATTCAACAGGGAATAGTGGGACGTCCCATCTCACCAGGTCAAACACCACTATATTTCGGTTAGGTCAATGACCACCTCACTCCTCCCCGTTCTATTTGTAAAGGCTGGCTGCCAGAAGTGACCTTTTTAGTATCTAATCCAGCGCACAATACGAGCCTATTGAATGACTTCCTGGATTCTTACCAGTACTGGTACTGTACCCTGCTCTATTACATGTAGGTGATTATCATTAAACAATCACCTGAGCAGCCTAGCTATGACTTAATTAGCTGAACAGCCCCACTAAGACTTACTCAATCACCTGAGCAGCCCACTGTGCAGAATTCTACGACTCACTCAATCACATGAGCAGCCCACTGTAGAATTTATTAGAATGAATTGTCACCAGTAGCACCCAGAGAAGAATGAACCAACACTAGTATCTAACAATCACCAACAAACACAGAAACCTCCTTCAGGTCTGATTGAGTCACTGAAGACTTGTATCTTACTACTGTCAAAACACTCTAACCCACTCATGCACTGGTTCAAACTCAGATGCAAGGATATGCAGTCTATATATAGAGACTACCGCAACACCTATCACATCTACCAGCTTAACAGCATGAGCATCCTGAGGATTATACTCCAATCCTCAATAAAAGACCTTATCTGGACAGCAAACAATCCAGACTCAGATTTATATTCAATGTTCAACAAGAAGAAACCTTCACCCACAAGCTGTGAAACCACATTACAACAACCACATTGAATCATAAATGTTCAGTCTTATTATCTTACCTCCGAAAAAAAAAACACATTTCCTTTGATAACTGTTTCTGACTTTGTTTCAAGAGCTAAACCTAACAGATAACATCATGACAATTACTACTTCAGTTCTGCAAGATGCTCATTCTATTTCTGCCATAAGGACCCCCAACCGCGCAATTCCATATTGTACTAACATTTGTAGTTATCACTATTAACATACGCCTACATCAAAAAAGATCCCATACAAACTGTCATATAAATTGCTTGTCGGCCTAACAAGCAACCTACCAAATGACAGTATAGGTCATCCAGCTTAGAAGAGACGGAGAACTGCTTACTTGGTGACCCCTTACATGGCAGTGAACTCAACTGACCAGATGCAACTTGCCTGTCTACATGGGAGCTAAAAACTTAATGGTGACTATATTGTTGCCTAACATCTCAGTGCTGGGACTCAGATTTCTGTAAGTCCCACAATTGGAATCTAGGGCCTTTTGAAACATAATCACCAATAAGGAGCCCACAGCTCATTACTACTAAAATGATTCCTAGATAATTAGCATGCACTCTTGGGGTTTGCTCCCAAGGTTCCTTATTACCAGGACTGATCGTAACACACTCAATGACCGATGCAGTTTTAACCTGAAACCTGTAGATGCTGGTACCTTACCTGGAAGGCTTCCAAAGACCCTTAGTGACCCAAGTGATCTTTTTCTTGTCAATAGCACCACATCTACATCGTCAATAAAGGATCCCCAATTCATGGGCCATCATGAACTAATTGACACCTACCACAAGCCAATTTACCCCAAATCGATTTCCCACACAGTACCAGACATTACATAATTTTACCATGATAACGATTTGATCTGTGCTGCAGCAACTTACGCCGGGATAGATCTTTCAACCATCCCGCCTTGTGGCTCCCAAAACCCATTCACCACCTTATACGAGTGATCAGTCCATGGTATGCCATCGGCTAAAGCAACAGATAAATTTAATTACCCCATGGTAGTTCTTCTATAATTAACCACCAGATAAATTTAATTACCCCTTGGTAGTTCCTCTCTGCAGCAACCCTCACCCCCACCATCTCTAACTGGCAAGACGCTGAGCTTTTCCTGCTGCTATCATTACCCCACCATTACTAACTGGCAAGAGGCAGGCTCTTAGTCCCTAAGACTTATTTCGACTACAAGACATTTCCATCAAGTTGATTTACATGCCACCCTGGATCAAAACACCATCTTACAACTTGGCTTTCCCCAGATCGATATCCTATATTATATTTTATCCAACTCCCTTCTCCCCTTGGGGATAAAAAGAACATCACATTAGAATAAACATGATTTCGACCCAACAGTTACTTTGTAGTCTTAAAACACCTAAAAGCATTTTATAAACTTTTAGGGCTACCCTTTGACCTTAGCCTAGTCAACTGTGAAAGCCTTCATCACAGTTTCCCAAGTCACAGAAGAGTTATCTTCAGAAGAATGAACTTCGTAACTATCAGTACTGACTGAAGAAACCCTCTTTCCTATACACCTTTCAATGCGTTTGCTCCTACCAACAATAAAATGGCCTAATGGCTCTGTTGGTACTTACGGACCACTAATTTGGCTTGTTCGACAGTGGATGGATCATGCATGTAAACATGGAACCCAGCTTGTTGGTCTAATAAACCATGGCAAAACCTACTTATACCTGACTTGTTATAAATTGGACACACCCACCCTGAAAGGCTTTTATCGGCTAAGGCATATAACCTGTCTACAAAATCATCAAGAGATTCGCCCGGGTTTTGAAAAGCTTGATGAAATTGCCCTTGAGCTGCCTCTGGAGAGATTTGGTCATCAAACCGAGCCTCCAGTTTATCGTTTAAAGAAGAACACGATTGCACTTCATCATATTTTAATTATGTTTGCATTGCATCCAGATCCAATCTTATGTATATATATATATATATATATATATATATATATATATATATATATATATATATATATATATATATATATACAGTCACATTCCTCCATTTACGGGGCATCGGTCTATTTGAGACCATACTTGTGGGGTTTATATTTAATGTGGGGCATACATAAGGCCTCGCAACTCTGGCATGTTTAAAACGATGTATGGGGCGTAGGCTACCCTTCTAACATAGTGCCGTAGGCCGGTTTTAGTAGTAAATGATATATGTCCCACAAATGTATATATTTTTTAATGGGGTTTTATGTTATTGGTCAATATGTTTTCACCTATGGTAAATTAAATATATAGTTGATATATATAACTTAGTACCCCTTAGTTCTGTTGTTTGGAATGTCATTATATGCCTACATAGTGGCATATATAAAAACTGACTGCATGAAATAATGCCACTCAACTCGGTCTTATAAATAGGCCCTAAGTGAAGATATGTGTGAATATATATATATATATATATATATATAATATATATATATATATATATATATATATATATATATATATATATATATATATATATATATATATATATATATATATATATATATATATATATAAATAAAACAAAAAACACAGTCCATGAGTAAACTTATTTAATTATTTGCCAACCGGTTTCTCTTATGATCATCAGGGCAAATGTGACGTCGTCGTCGCATAGTAACTATATATATATATATATGGTATTAAGCAAAGTTATTGGCCTCCAATAGGGCCTGTAAGTCTCGTTTACTTTCACTTTCGATTTACCACTTCCGGGTACATCGGCAGACTTATTTACCGTTACGCATATAGGTAACCCGAAGAACTAGAGGGATATAGAAGTTAAATTTGTTTCGGTCCTCTTCAGATTTGAAGGAATGGATAGCACGGGTCAAAAAATGCAGGTAGGTCAATTATCTGACGGAAAAACGAGGGATTTATAGAGTTTAATAAAACTAGTATTATTTTCGGATAGTGACAATTGTTTCGGATGTTTTGTCAAGGTAGTGAATTCTAGTTGTTTAGCTTTTAGTATTGTTTTTTAAAACTACTGATGTGTGAAATTAATTCAAACCATTTTAACTTATTGAAATAAACAATGGAGAAACACTTTAATTCTAGTGTATATTAAAGTTATACAAAATTCGGACATTGCACAGTAATTCGGATATTTTTTCCTTTCCATTTTATTCTTGTTCCTTTTTTCAATTATATATACATGTTAATATAGTACCTAGCAAATAATGATTGAATTAAAAAATATAATATTTGATTAAACCATTTCAGATGTATAGACAAGGAGGTATATGACAAGTATAGAATATAAAGTTGTTCAATATGGACCATTTATCAACTGTTTGCACTGCCTATGATCCTGAAATATCTATACATCAAAGGTAAATACATGTAAAATATTAGATTAATTTTTAGTTGAGATCGGAAAGATAAACAATTATCAAAATATATTATTATGATTTAATAACTTTTGGATTTCACTGCATGATAATTGATAAGTAAATAAAACATTAAAAATAGTCATGTTTCACATTCAAGAAGATCAATATTTTTGACTGTTATATATTATGTGTTGTTGTTTATCTTTAATGTTTATTTACTTCAAATATGAAATTTTTCTGTCAATCATGACCAGCTTATTGAATGTAATGTAAATATCATTTCTAGAGTAACAAATTTATTGATTTTTCATTCTGCAGATAAAAAGGGAAGGGATGAAGGAGGATTTGTCCATGAAGACCTTTCTTGCAACTACCATGCATCTTCCAGTTCCTTAATTTGAGAATGATATCAGAGAACACACAGTTACAGTGAAATACTCTATATATACCAAAGTTGATTAACACACCAGAGATAAGATTTTTTCATAGAATCACAGTAGAGTCATATGACATTATGGACATTAAATGACTATGAAGTAAAGATTAGCAAAAATATTATATATCATCTACTACTAAATATTGTTTGAGGTAATCATTGATAAAGCTTACAAATTTGCAATCAAAGCTTTGATATCAAGCTAAACATTTTTCAATTAGAATATGATTTATAACTCTATGATTATTTGTTCTTGTTAATTTTCAAAGTCTTTACATTTGTAAAAGGAAATACTCTTATTCTTGTATCAGTAGACACTCACAGTGTAAAGTTACATTGTCCAAATAACTAATAATAATTCCAAGTGCTTTCCTGAAGTTTTTCTTCCACTGGAAAATCAGTGTGATATATATGCTAAGCAGTGCACTATAAATTGTGTAAAAATAAAAGTTTATTAAACTTATGAACTGTTTTTTGTTTCTACTATTTGGCATATATTTATAGCAGTGCTTGATCATAAGAGTTCATCTGCAAAATAAGTGTCACTGTGTACTTTAATTCTCTAACAGCAATGGCTAGATTGCTTGAATATGCAAGCATTGACTATATTAAATACTATGCATGTCATTTGAATTTTGTCTGTCCTGAAATCGAAACAGACACTATCTAAATAATATTGATGAAAAGTTCTTGACAGCTCTTCAATGACTACATTTACACATATGTACATGGACAAAAGTTAAAAGCATTGTGTGTTGTTGGTTTTTTTTGTTTTCTTTTTTGAAACATTGACAATTTTGAAACAGTTCCAATTGGTATATTAATGTATCAGTGATGTAATTGTTTTGTATCAAGTGCAAACCCTAAGTTTTGCATGTATTGTATAGATAATTCACTTTTGGTCAAATGTCAGCAGGTTCAATACATTATAAAACAGGTAATTTGAAACCCAAAGAAGTATATGGTATGTAATAACTACCCCTCTAATACTAAAATCTTCAAGGAATGCAGAATTGCAAGTCTTCTCCAATTAAGAGAGAGACTTGGGCTTACAAGGGCTAGCAGCTAGTGTTTTTGCTACAGAATACTCAACACAGATGAATTGCATTAATATTGTTTACTCTGGTATTAACTACCTGCCATGTACAATGCAAATCATGGCTTTTCTAAGAGCAGTGAAAGGCTATTATAACTGGAAGGAATTTTACACATCTTGCCTCAGAAACAAGTTTTTTTTTGAGATGATTATTATGATATTTAAATAATGGTTAAAGATTACATTACTTTCACAATTGCAGTGATCATGGTGATAATATGAAATGAAACTCAATCAAGATAGAAACAATTTTAATGCTGAACATTTATCTTTTACCATTCCTGTTAATTTACAAGTCTATTTATAACAAATTTATCTTAACTGTTTTAAAACTAACATGATGCCTGGTTGAAACTGTTTTGGGCAGCCATTTGCAGAAGATAAGATTATCTTTGAATAATTAAGTTAATACAAAGTTACAAATGACAGGTATTTATTTCTAATAAAGACAGGTTATTTATTTCTAACAAAGACAAAATATTTTGTTTAACATTTTACACTGACATATATCTTGAAGTGTCTTCACCCTTAGTTTTATGAGAATACAAAACATTCAGTTCAGACAGTTTACACAAGACATGGAGGCTTTAAGAAGCTTTGATTCAGTCAAAATCTGTAATGGACTGCCATGTCTTTACCACTATGTACCCCAAAGACTGTGTATTGACATTTCCTTCAACTATGCCTGGTGGTATCACTATTTGATTTCTCAATCTGATGGTGAACACTCCAAAATAAATCAAGAGCCATGACAAGTACTCAAGAACTCTTACCATGAAATCACATACCTGTATATAAAGAAAATTAATCATGAGTTGAAAGCAATAAATATTGGGTCAGCTATAAATTTCAATCATTATTTCATATTGTCATGAATAGAAAATAATGTTGAAAAGGAAGAAACACTTCTTGGTCATTTGGTGTCCTAGTTTTTGTAGATTTGCTTTGACAACTGATCTTTAAAAGTGTGATAGTGACTAAGTTCTTTTAACCCTTTACGCGAACATGATTTAACTAAAAAATATGACCTCACTTACTTGAGAAAAATACTTTAAAGAACAGTATTTAACATGAATTAACTACTATATATGCCATAATGTTTGTTTATTTAGCTACACTGTAATTATTTACAAAAAAGAGAACATTATATGTTATTCAATAATATTTATTTTTTCATTAATGTAGTTTTAAGTAGCTTTAAGTATATATTTCTTACCAAAAAACGATTTTACAGCAGAGCATGCATGTGTAAGTTTACAATGGATACTGACGTCTTTCATCTCATCACTGTCCTCAGTCAAACATATCTACAGGAGCAAAGATATTTCATTGAATTTTATGACAATATACATTGGTTATATACAGCTTGACTGTTTGTGCTTTATAAAGATAATAATTATAAATTAATAATATTTTCAGTTGGAAGAAAATATATTTAATTAAAACACACTGATAATCATATTGAAACGTTTATCCGAAATATGCGCTGTCCGAAATTTCTAAACATTATATACTTCTGAGAGATAATCAGGGCTATAGAAAATTGATAAAATCAAATTCACCAGTCTGGTGTCAGATGCGAATGATGTTGTATCAAAAAACAAATTTATTAGATTTACATGGAAATGTATCCACGATAAATATGACAACATGATATAACATATGATAAACTGAATTTGAAATGACACACCCACCTGAAGATTATACGAAGTTGTCTTTCATTGATACTTGTTCACAAGATGAACCATTTGCATTTCGTTACAAAACAAAAACTCTGCCAATTTCCACATTTCATTGCTTTTCCATTTAAGTTTTACTTTCCCACCGGCATACAAGTTATACCCAATATTAGATAAGCACATGTTGTGTGATATTGTGTTGTACCCTGGAAGTGCAAAATATCGTGGGAAATCTGCCTCGCAAGTCACATGAACGAAGACTTTACAGAATAGAAAAAAGAATAATAAAAAAATAACAAAGCAATGAAAAACACCCAGAATACAAATATAACAATATATTCTAAGAAAAAAGTTAGATTTCTCCCCCCTTAAGGTAAACCATGTAATTATTTCCTTGTGTTTGAGTAATGAATAACTAATATGACATTATATGCTTCATTTAGAGCTCTTACAATAATAATGACTCTTTTTTCTCCAGAATAATCTTTTGAAAAAATCGGCTCAACAACAGGTGTAGGCTCGGTTGCTTTTGTTTTTGTGTTTTGATTTACATTTTCTTCTTAAAATGAAAAGTGTAATTCACGCTTTCTATAGTTCTTTTAGGGATTTATTATTTTCTCTACTTTGGCTTTCTGTACCTGTGAGTTTAGTATTATTAATATTATATGTAAAATCATTAAAATCGATTGATTCATTAGATTCTCTTTCTTTAAACATAGTTTCATAATATCTTTCTGTCTCTTTTAAAATGTCTTGTGATTATCAATTATAGTTCCATTTTCATTTTGTTCTCTATAAATTCTTTTTGAAATGTAATTATATTTTTCTAAATTGCAACAATGCGCTCAGAAATGATACATGTGCATATCATAGCAGACGCACATAAAATTCTGCGTGTACTGCATTCAGTGAGAAATAAAGCAGATCTATGCAGTGTATAATTCTAAACTGGAGAAAAAGATTTATTGTAATTCTAACAAAAAACAAACAAACAAACAGCAATATTTTGAACTACAATGTATAAACATGAACATAGCTCCTTAAATTCTTAATATCTAAATAATATTTATGTAAAGAATTTTTCCATGAAAGAATAAAACAACTGATGCATACTACCCCTTAATTTCCTGGCAAAAGCTGCCGTCTGCATAGCAATTTTCGTCTGCTTCATATCTATGTTATTATTTTATGCAAAAATAGAACATATTTAACAGTTTACGACTGATTGATATCGGGATACATGGCGTATAGGCTGGTTCAATTTACAAATGTCATTATGTTTTCTCCAAGCAGGTTAATGGTTTTAGCATGTCAATGAGTTCAGTATTATGATATATTGCAAGAGTTTAATATCTAAGTTTTCATTTACTTAAGATTCTAATTAAACATATTTTAATATACTACACGTGTACTTATGAATTTTAATATATATGCGATATCTTTACTAGACAGTCTTCATGTTATAATATTTTACTCATCAACTTAACTTTAAAGTTTGTTTGACATGCAAACAAAAAAAAAACAAATACATAAACATATTTCATCCTTTAAAAATTTCGATAATCATTCGCAGCTGAAATACATTATCTTATAATTATACATTTCCATTGCCTTAAGTCATGGACTTTGTTACTTTGTCTGTGTACCTAGTTTTGTGTTCTCCTGTCTTTAACTTACGTTTCTCCGGCCCGTCCGTTCTTTCCTGGAGCCCTATTACTGACAAAGATTTTTCCGTTTGAATACCAAACATCGTCTACTTCTTTATCTTTATCATCTTTATCACCAAGTTTAAAAGACTGTAAAACTTGTTGATTAAGCATGGTTAAGTCATGGCAAATCGTTATCCTGAATTGTTCAACTCCTACACATTTTTTCATAACTGTTGCGAACAGACTGCACTTTCGTTGGTCTGGTTCTACCCGGTAGAGATCGACCCAACCTGTGAGCGATACTGATATCATTCTTTGTTAGGTTGATTTTCAGCTAATTATTCAATTCAGATACTATAAATTCAGCTTTCAAGCTCGATGTCTGTTTGGGATCATCGTCTCTGTGGCCATATTAACGAATATTGTTCTACGTCGTTTTGTGCCACTTCATTTTAGTTAATTTCTCTATTAAGTCTATCTCTTATTGTTTGGTTATTTTCTTTCAGGCTTGCTTTAATGAAAAATAAATATTCTTGTATAAGATAATGTTCTCGTTTTTGTAAATAATTACAGTGTAGCTAAATAAACAAACAGTATGGCATATGTAGTTAATTCATGTTAAATACTGATTAAAGTATTTTTCTCAAGTAAGTGTGTCATATTTTT